TTTGTTGTGAATCGCCCAGAGTTCCCCCATTGGGGGGAGATGGGCGGTTGAAAAATTCAATCAATCAATCAATAATAAATAAATGTAGGGGGAATTTTGTTTTCACACTCAGAAAGTGAGCTGGAGCCAAATTTTCGTTTGAATGGGCTGGCTGCATTAAAAGAAAAATGTAGGCACACGTTGTTAACTGTCCGATTAATTCCGTGGGTAGAAATGATTTCGAGACATTTCCCCCCCTAAGCAAAAGGGGACATGTCAAGGCCTTTATCTGATTGTTCTTCAAAGAGGCCATTTTCTTAGGCTCCCCCATAGGGAGAGGCACGGCGGGGTCAAAAAAGGCAAGATGACATCATGATGGTGTGATCAAGGTCCACTCATTCTTTATGGGTATTACGTGTGTGATGAGCGTAAAAAAATATGTGGAGCTCTGATTGCACTGTCGTGGCCACCATCTTGACTTTTTTGACCAAGTCTGTGGATGCACCACAGAGAGGAATCCATCAAAGGATGTTTTAAAGCAGTGCTTTTCAACCTTGGCCACTTTAAGATGGGTGGACTTCAACTCCCAGAATTCCCCAGCTGGCTGGGGAATTCTGGGAGTTGAAGTCCACCCATCTTAAAGTGGCCAAGGTTGAAAAGCACTGCTTTAAACTGTTCAGGACAATCAGTCCTTTTCACTGGAGGCAGAACAAAACCATTCAAATATGATCCCCAAAGTTATTTGTCTCCAGCCCAAAAGAAGTCAGGAAGTAAGTCTGTGGGTTCCACCATTGATCCCCTCGAAAACCATGTTCATTCCTGCACTTCTGCAAGTGACGTGGTGTGCTGCTAAATGTTTAAGAACCGGCTCTGCCGGACCCATTGCCACCGCTGTGCCATGGCACTAGCTGTAGCGCAGCGGATTGGTACGCTAGGTGTGCCAATCTCAGGTGGCTTGCATCTCAGGAGGCTTGCAAAACTCCAGAACATTGAGCAATGGGCTCTCGCGAGCCGGTGTGAGCCGGCCCTAGCACCCCCTTCCCCACGTCCCTGTAATAATGCCATGTTCTGATTTCTGTCCTTAATTATTCCCTTAGGGTTTTTACTTCTGGAGGAGACATCTCTCTTGGAAAAGCTTTCTGGTGGACAGTTGCTTCGAAGTATTCCTGTACGTGCACGTATGTTGCTGTTCTTCTGGAAGGATTCGATATAGAATGCCCCAGTCTGGCCTCTCTTTCATTCCAGGACCTAACTGTGGTCATTTCTAATTTTGCATTTGCATTTCATAGATGCTCCTAAGTTACATTCCCCTTACATCCTCCAGATAGCTGGGACTGCAGATGCAGCTAATAGTTGCTGTCCAGACTCACCTGAAAGGTGCTAAGGTGGAGAAGACCCACCCCTTATAGCGCCAGAAACAGCATTAAGAGAGTGTACTGAGTCTCCCTGCAATAGAGGAGACTCCTGGGAGTAGGTCCCTTGTATCAAGACAAGATCATGTTCAGGAATTAAGTCTAAGAAATATGGATCGTCTTTTGGGGACTTCCAACCAGCCATGTTCTAGGAAATCAGACAGGACCCCTATGACCTTAACTCAGTCTGAAGATTGATTAGGAGGTTGGATCAGCTGTGTGGTTAGGGAAGGTTCTGCTTGATGAAGGTGGGGTGAATTCACTGAAGAGGCAGAGTGGTCCATGTTGGGTGAAAAAGAGCACAGAGGCTCTTCGTTAGTAGTAGAAGGTGGGGTTGGAAGCTGTCCAGGATCTGTTTGAAGAAAAGAAGAAGTAGATGGACCCAGTTCACGATGTCTCAGCTGGAGAGATGGAAATGTTAGGGTAGATCAGATGGTGAACGTTACTCAAAAGATCCTCAGTAAGATCAGGTTGAAGGTTGAGGTGAGATTAGTTGGTCTGGAGTTGCAGTTCACTACTTTTAACATCCTGCTATCCGTACAGAACTTGCCGTACTGTAGTAAATGTCCTCTGTGCTCCTTCTCTAACCACACAACCGATCCAACCTCATAATCAGTCTTCAGACAGACAGAGCGAAGCCCGTAGGGGTCCTTTCTGATTTCCTAGAACAGGGTTTCTCAACCTCAGCAGCTTTGAAATGAGTGGACTTCAACTCCCAGAATTCCCCAGCCAGCGTGCCCACCCATCTTAAAGTTGCTGAGGTTGAGAAACACTGTCCTAGAACATTGCCGGTTGGAGGCCCAAAAAAGATGATCCATATCGTTGCTGTCTTAAAAATGTGCCCTTTTCAAATAATGTTTATGCTTTCTTTCCTATGTCATGGCTTCTTGACTGCTTAATTTGCCAGTCAGTGACTGTAATAAAGATTATCTATCTAGTAAGGGCTGAGAGGGAGCGACTGGCCTCAACTCCCCCAGGGACCTTCTGTGGCTGAGGGGGGACCTCGTCCAGCACCTTCACCACAACACCATGCTGGCTCAATGACCGGTCTGTCAAATGCACTTGGCATACCCTGGCTAATCTCTAGCTTGCAAAAATTCTGGATTTGATCAGCGTAAGGTTGCTTAAATTTCACCTCTAGAGCTGAGCGCGGCACTGATCAGCAGCTGCAAAATTCATTCAATTATTAAATCAACAGGGTGCGAATAATCTCTAGTCAACACTGTATAAATACTACCCAGACGATATAATGTACTATTTGTGTTTGGTTTGGATGAAAGAGTAGTTGCTGCGGAGATAGAGAAGCTCCTGGAGTTAGAAGGACACGAGCTGAGATTTGGGTGGCATGGATCTTTGTGGCACGACAAAGTCAAGGTTAACGTGCGTTTTAAAGATCATTCTGTTAGACGTGCCCTACTGAGAATATGGCATAGACGCAAACCCAGGTTGTGCCCGAAAACACCTTGGTGGCTCTCAGCACACGAAGCATGTTATAGGCCAGAGATACTAGGCAAATACAAATGGCTAACTTATTGAGAGGTACTAGAACTTGGTCCAGGGGAACGTAAAATAAAATCAAGAGAAGGACTGGTGGCAGAGGCACATAGCTCTCTTATTTACAATTATTAGAAAGATTTAAAGTGGGCAAAAGAATACACGGCTTCGAACGCTGTAAAACGGAGTTTGGGATAAACAAGACGGGCTCCGAGCCGTTGCTGTCTCCTCCTAATGCAACTTAAGGGGAGTTTGGGGCGCAGGGTCTTCGGGTGGAAACCTCACCCGGACGAGTCTCTCGGTGGGCTTGATTGCTCGAACTGCAGGGTGACCCCCTGACTTCTGCTGACAGCTACTTGGAAAAGAGGGCAGAGACGAACCGGAGGGGCACTGTTGTTTTTTAAACTGAAACGCCTCACCCCAAAATAGGAAATAGCATCTCACTTAGAACAACATAACTTTTTTTCTGGCCTAACTGTTCTTCCAGGTTGGAAAAGGAGATGCTTTGCAGGGGGAGTCAAAAAGGCCAAGATGACCACCATAACTATGCAGTCAAAGCATTATGACGCATGCATGTCGAAAAGGGTGAGACTTCAATGGCATGGTTGCGACATCCATCTTGACTTTTTTGACCCCCCTCCCTACAATCACCCCAGTTTCCATTTTTGCTTTGTTTTATTTTCAGTCCCGTCCGTACAAAGCTCTGGAAAAACGTACCTCCGTTCCTCTCCCTTCCAAAATCATCGCTGCTTCTCCTTCTCCCTCTGGCCCTTGCAGATTGGTGCAGTCGCTCTTGATCCTGATCTCGTTCATGATGTATTTTGCAAAGGTGGAAGAATATGTGCTGCTCATGGTGTTTGCCTTGCTTTTGGGCTGGGTGAACATGCTGTACTACACCCGAGGTGTTCAGCAGATGGGAATCTATATCGTGATGATCCAGAAGGTAGATCACGAAACCAGAACTTCTGTTTCCAAATACTGGAATATCTCTGATTTCACAGAGCAGCTCTGACCCTAAATGCAGCTGATCAGTTACAGGTCATCCTGGTTTAGCAACCACAATTGGGACTGGCTACTTGGTCATTAAGCAAAGTGGTCGCTAAGTGAAACATCACAATTTTACGATCTTCCTTCAGCTTTCCTTTATTTTACAGACCTGTGAAGGTTGTCAGTGCAAGGACTGGCCGCAAAGTTACTTCTTCATCGCCGTCATAACTGCGAACAGTCACTAAACGAGGCAGCCGTTAAACAAGGATGACCTGTACTTATTTATTTCCTGCCCAATTCCACAGACTCCGGGGTATAATTATGATGGGGATTTCCTCCCAGTGAATTTCATAAATCAAGATGCTTTTGGAACAAGGTTTTTAAAGTGATCCGTCTTCCAAAATCTCAAAAATCCCAACCTTCCTTTTTTCAGGATGGCACATCTCTTCCTAGAATACAGATTTAACTGCGGATAAAACTAAGCATTAATAAATGTAGGCATTAATAAACGCAAGTCCTTTTCCTTCCCTTTTATTATCATCAAATAAAACTAAGAATAATGTTGGTAGAAAAACCGGTCTATATTAAATCAGCAAATAGTTTCTTTCATAAAAGACTCTCATTAATGTAATTCTGTCGAAATGGTCTGCAGAAACTCTGTTCTCCTTAAGTTAACAAAAAAAAGTAAAGATACCCTTAAGAGAAGTTTAGTGACTTTATGGAGGCTTTTGCGGGGAAAACCATGAAAGTGGTTTGCACAGCCACCTTCTAAATTTTCCTTGATTTTCTGCCCAGGATCTCCTGGTGGTCTTCCCTGCAAAGTTTTTTTCCCCCCCAGATTACATAGTCCAAGTTTAGAACATGAGGCTTTTGTTTGTTTGTTTGTTTAATTATGCTGTTATATATAGTAAGAAGACCATGTATATCTTACCTTGGATTCAGGTGAAAAGAAGGCCTTTTAAACCCCTTTCACCATGCTCCGTGAAAGAAATCCAGAACTAGAATATACCAACATAGAATCCAGTTAAACAGATGTACTGAAAGGGAAAGAGGGATCTTGGAAGCTGGATCCGTGTACTTCAGCACCCCGTGTATCAGCAAGAACATTAAGGCAGGGCCGCTGTGATCTCTCTGATCCTCTTTCTATCTGTCTCTTGCTGCAGAGGAAACCTGGTGGTCCAATAAGGAATGCACAGATGTTCCTCTCCTGCAACGTTTTGCAAACCACCATTCAGAGGATTACATTTCCGCAGGCTACTCGAAGGAGCAGGGGGCTCTGGGAGTTGAAGTCCACCCATCTTAAAGGTGCCAGGTTTGACAGACACTGACCTACACGCTGCTTCTCCTTCTCCTTCCAGGCTATCTTGAGGAACCTTCTGCACTTCCTGATGGTCTATGTGATCTTCCTATTTGGCTTTGCAACAGGTGAGCATCCCGGTGAGGGAGGAAGGGGTGAGCGTAGCCAAGTTAAGCTCCTTCCCAGGCAAGAAGACTTGCCGATGGCCGCAAGAGCAGAAGGTAGACAAAGACCAAGGAAAGGTCCTGATCTTGGTGTCCTTGGTTAAAGGGATGGTCAAGCAGGTCTGTTTTGAACTCCGACCGCACCGTCTATGACCACTAGGCTGGAACTGATATCAGGAAAGACTTCTGCTGTGGGTGTACCTTAAAAAGGGGCGAGCAAATTTCAGTTGTGTGGCAAACAAAAGGTTGAAGCCAGGTGGAAAATAAGGACTGAGGTTGAAGGACACGCGGTGAAGGATTTGAGATCAGATACAACCTTGTCTGCCCTTCCATGCCCTGCCCAAATCAGCATTTGGCTTTTCCCCGAGCACTCGTTGGCAGCCAGATGATGTTCTGTTGTCAGGCTGTTGGGCCTTCTTGGTATCTTGATGCAAATAAAAATCTAATAAGTTCAGTTTAATGAATGATGAGGCATCTGAAGATCTACTAGCCCACTGGGGTCTCGGGTCCAACTATCCTTAAACTGAGAACATTCCAAAAAGGTTGCCTGAAGGAGCTGCTGAAATGTCCAATGACTCCTTTCAGTTCTCATCGTTCTGACGGGGGACGCTTCCCGCTCGGCCCACAACGGATCTCTCCCTCTCAGCAACGACCCTAAAGGCCAGGCCATGTATGCACGGTTGCTTCAGATTTCTCTCCAGCTCTTCAAGTTCACCATTGGCATGGGCGACCTGGAGTACCACGAGAACAAGAAGCACGGCTTCCTTGTGATTCTCTTGCTCCTCCTCTTCGTCATCTTGACCTACATCCTCTTGCTCAACATGCTGATCGCCCTGATGAGTGAAACGGTCATCAACGTTTCTGGCTACAGCCAAGGCATCTGGAAGTTGCAAGTGAGCCCCCTTCTATTGTGACAGTGGCTTCATTTGAACCAGACTCCAAGAAGCTAGGACGCCTTTGCTGGGGCGTCCAGGGCAGGATCACAAAAATCAAGGTGGCAGCTGGGACAGCGTGATCAAAGCCCGTGGTCACAACTGCTGCCTTGACTTTTTTGACATCCCTGTGCCCCACACATGTTCCTGCTTGCTTGCCCCACCTGGTGGCCTCCAGGCCTGTTAAACTTCAATCCCCTCAAGACCAAGGCCAAGACAGGACATTCCTGTCAAATAATTCTGGAGGAAACACCAAAGTGGAGAAAAAATAGGCTTGTTTCAGCAATCAACAAGGCAGGTTGATAAGCAGGGTATACAGTCAGGTCCAGAAATATTGGGACATCGACACAATTCTAACATCTTTGGCACAATTGGCTTCTCAGCTGTTCCATGGCCAGGTGTGTGATATCCCCTCAGTACCCCAATTACAATGTGCAGATAAAAGGCCCAGAGTTCATTTCAAGTGTGCTATTTGCATGTGGAATCTGTTGCTGTCAACTCTCAAGATGAGATCCAAAGAGCACAATTGGCTTCTCAGCTGTTCCATGGCCAGGTGTGTGATATCCCCTCAGTACCCCAATTACAATGTGCAGATAAAAGGCCCAGAGTTCATTTCAAGTGTGCTATTTGCATGTGGAATCTGTTGCTGTCAACTCTCAAGATGAGATCCAAAGAGCACAATTGGCTTCTCAGCTGTTCCATGGCCAGGTGTGTGATATCCCCTCAGTACCCCAATTACAATGTGCAGATAAAAGGCCCAGAGTTCATTTCAAGTGTGCTATTTGCATGTGGAATCTGTTGCTGTCAACTCTCAAGATGAGATCCAAAGAGCACAATTGGCTTCTCAGCTGTTCCATGGCCAGGTGTGTGATATCCCCTCAGTACCCCAATTACAATGTGCAGATAAAAGGCCCAGAGTTCATTTCAAGTGTGCTATTTGCATGTGGAATCTGTTGCTGTCAACTCTCAAGATGAGATCCAAAGAGCACAATTGGCTTCTCAGCTGTTCCATGGCCAGGTGTGTGATATCCCCTCAGTACCCCAATTACAATGTGCAGATAAAAGGCCCAGAGTTCATTTCAAGTGTGCTATTTGCATGTGGAATCTGTTGCTGTCAACTCTCAAGATGAGATCCAAAGAGCTGTCACTATCCACCTGAGTTGGATGTACATACCCTCAAATTAAAGCTGACAGTCTGCAGTTAAGGCACATTGTGTTTGTTTCATTCCAAATCCATTGTGGTGGTGTATAGAGCCAAAGATGTTAGAATTGTGTCGATGTCCCAATATTTCTGGACCTGACTGTATGTCAGTCCAACGATCCCTAGAACATAACCCAAGAACAGAAGCTGTGCCCTGCTGGATCGGACCCCTGGCCCACCCAGGCCAGCAGCCTGTTCTTACAGTGGCCCCCCAACTGCCCAAGAAGCCCGCTAGTCTGCAGCAATGGCTTTCAGCTCCATGCCGTCAAGGCTAATAGCTATTGACCCCTTGGCTTCCAGGAATGGCCCAGCCCTAGAGATAGTCACACTAGTGCACCTCTACGACTTGGCAGCACGTTCCGTGGCCATGAATGATGGGAGTTGTAGTCCAAAGGATTGAGAGAGTGCCAGGATGGGTGTGGTACATCTGTGTTTGAGAGGGGGAATCCTATCTATCTATCTATCTATCTATCTATCTATCTATCTATCTATCTATCTATCTATCTATCTGTCTATCCGTCTGCCTGCCTGCCTGCCTGCCTGCCTATCTATGATTTATGAGGTCTATTCACAAACCATTGTGTTTGCAGAGAGCAATTGCTATCCTGGAGATAGAGAGAAACAGGATTTGGTGCTGGAAGAAAAGCCAGAGAGCAGGCTGTTTCCTCTCCGTCGGCTCTGAGGACAAGAGGTGGCTTTTTCGGTAAGCTTAACCATAGCCTATTGCGGTGCAAAACCGTGAAGCAGCATGGCACAGAGCTCGAAGCATCTTGAAGATTGTATAACTTACCCACATAGGACAGTGGTTTGCTCCCCCACTCCCTCTCCTATTCCCTTATTGCGGGGTTTGGTGTGGTGTGGTGGTCGTCTAATTACAATTCCGTCTGTAGAGAGG